CAGCAGCAGCAGCAACAGCAGCAACAGCAACAGCAACAGCAGCAACAGCAGCAGCAGCAACAGCAACAGACAACAGCAACAGCAACAGCAACAGCAACCAGCAACAGCAACCAAGCAACCACAACACCAACCTCTCTCAACAACCACGCCCCCAACCACAAAAACAAACCAAGAAAGCTCATCAACCACAAGTTGAGCCCAAGGTTCCAAAACCCCACCCCAACAAAGCAACAATATCACTTTAAACCACAGAAGGAAACCAAGAAACCAAGCTGCCCAAAACCAAAGCAAAGACCCCACAAGCAATTTGGTTCGGTCTCCTCTGGCAAGCCGCAGGCGAAAACCCCTGCTTTGTACGCCAGCTGCGGCAGCTCAGCAGGGAAGTCCCCCGCCTTGTTTGGGACCGAGGCGAACGAGGCGAATGGGCGAAAGGGACGAGGGTCCATATCGAAGGATTGGTGAAGGTCAACCTGAATTGAAGCCTGTTCAAACCAACTTTGACGTTTCAGGGAATGTTGAAGGTAAGCTTGTTTTCCAACCTTGTTTTCAAAACAATGCATGGAGTTGTGTGGCATTGCCGGGCACAGAATCCGTTGATGTTGCCCTTGATTGATTTGAACATGTTGCTGTTACAATAAAACCCGGGGTTGTGTACAACAAAACAGGATTTAAGACATAATCACGAAGAAATGTGGAAATAGGGGAGGTCTACATGGGGTTGTGGATGATTATGGGGTACTGCTGGACCAACATGGAACCCTCAAACAGGTTGAATCTCTCTCGTTCTTGGAAAAGGACTTCTTTTGCAGGTTCCAGGTTAATTTGCAAGGGAGTACCGTGAGGGATTTTCACATTAAAATGAGATTGTGGGGTAGTATTGCTTAAACAATGAGTCAATAGTTATGAATGACAGTAATTGGCTGTATAATCTCAAGCTGAGCCTTTTTGGTCGCTCAAAGAAATCAACAACCACGCCCCCAACCACAAAAACAAACCAAGAAAGCTCATCAACCACAAGTTGAGCCCAAGGTTCCAAAACCCCACCCCAACAAAGCAACAATATCACTTTAAACCACAGAAGGAAACCAAGAAACCAAGCTGCCCAAAACCAAAGCAAAGACCCCACAAGCAATTTGGTTCGGTCTCCTCTGGCAAGCCGCAGGCGAAAACCCCTGCTTTGTACGCCAGCTGCGGCAGCTCAGCAGGGAAGTCCCCCGCCTTGTTTGGGACCGAGGCGAACGAGGCGAATGGGCGAAAGGGACGAGGGTCCATATCGAAGGATTGGTGAAGGTCAACCTGAATTGAAGCCTGTTCAAACCAACTTTGACGTTTCAGGGAATGTTGAAGGTAAGCTTGTTTTCCAACCTTGTTTTCAAAACAATGCATGGAGTTGTGTGGCATTGCCGGGCACAGAATCCGTTGATGTTGCCCTTGATTGATTTGAACATGTTGCTGTTACAATAAAACCCGGGGTTGTGTACAACAAAACAGGATTTAAGACATAATCACGAAGAAATGTGGAAATAGGGGAGGTCTACATGGGGTTGTGGATGATTATGGGGTACTGCTGGACCAACATGGAACCCTCAAACAGGTTGAATCTCTCTCGTTCTTGGAAAAGGACTTCTTTTGCAGGTTCCAGGTTAATTTGCAAGGGAGTACCGTGAGGGATTTTCACATTAAAATGAGATTGTGGGGTAGTATTGCTTAAACAATGAGTCAATAGTTATGAATGACAGTAATTGGCTGTATAATCTCAAGCTGAGCCTTTTTGGTCGCTCAAAGAAATCTATATGAAACCAACCAATTGGCGAGGATCCCCAGCTTTTGAAAGGATGCCATAGTTCAAACGGGGTACCTCAATGGTTCTCACACCCCCACGAGGCGCTTAGTGCTGAAGGAATTCATTCCATGTCCACCCTCAAGCGACTCAATGAAAATTGGGCATATACAGAAAAGGATTCAAACATTGATGAACCTAACCCGGCCTCGAACACATGCATATAGCAAAAACCCCGCGATGCGCAAACGGTGAGGGATTCAATTCTCTGGAAGGATCTCCGGGTTATGCTGGGCCAAGCAAAACGAATTCTTTAAGATTCAACCGGAAACCAATCCCTGCGAAACGGTTTTCAAACCTTCCGGGTTTTGCTTGAGGGAACTTGTACATGACAGACATTGAGCTTTTCTTTGGACTCTAACGACGGTCAATCCCGTCATCTGGGCCAACAAAACCCAGAGTTCACAACGGAAGAGCAAAGGTCAGATCATTATCCAACTTGCCCAAGGCTGTCGGTTGCAAGCCGCTCCAGGTACGCGAACCATCCGACACGAGTTGGAAACAAAGACGGCCTAGTTGCCTGACATGCAACTGCAAGCGTCGGAGACTCAGGAATGTTGAGAGACGCTTGAGTCGAGACTGAGACGCTTGAGTCTCTGAGTGTCCAACAGCGTGTGTTAAAATCAACTTTAAGCCACTGTTGGCCACTCATGGGCCCAGCTGTAACACAGCTTGCGGGGTGGGCGCTCACCCCATGAGCAACAAAATGGCAAACCTGGTTTGCCGCTGGATTCTAACGAGCTTCCTCCAAGAAAAATGCACGCAAAGGCACCGTTTATTCAGGTCGGTTCACAGGGAAACCAAAAGAAGAGCTGGGTGCCAAAAGCTTTGGGCGTTTGCGTCGCCCTCGGCGCCCAAAAGGCCTCCTCCCAGTCGGCGATGTTGGGCAGCAGCTCGGTGTCGATGAAGCTCTTCATCTTCTTCTGAAACTCTGCATGGCCCTGAGATCGACTCATCTGCCCATGGCTTGGACAAAAACAAGCCATCCACAAAACGGAGGACATGAAGGTCCAACATGGGTTGGCCCAAAATCCGCTTTGGGAAAGAGAGGGTTTTTTGTTGGAGGGTAAGTCTAGTATCTCAATGTGAACCCTGGATTCGCCATGTCCGGTTGTTTTGTTGAGAGGCGCCCTTGCAGTGGAGATTCCAGTTTTTTCCGAATCCACCTGATGAATCGTACAAAAAACCAAACGCCGCCCCCGAAGAAAGGTTCTGTGAACCCTTTTGAAATGTGTGCGAATCTTAAATCTTTTGCGGGGGGTTCTTAATCAAGGAGTCAACCTCATGGCCAAGAGGATTTGATGCCTGCAAGTGTTTGGCTTACTTTGGGTTTGCAACTTTCATGACAAACCAAAAGTGGAACTCATTTACAAACAGCACCAGAAGGACCCTTGCAAATGTTGACCCCAATATATGTCTTGTTCAACAAATTAAAACACTATCTGGTGGGCTTGTAGAGGGCGTTCGAACGTGATCCAGATCCCTTACAAATTGAGGCAGGCACCCCCCTGATTGATCCGTCATCTGCACAAGACTAATAGTAACAGAGTGGTTCTACACAAATGACCTGGGTTCCCATTCAGGTTCGTCATCCCCAAACAGCATCAGCCAAAGGCTTAACCAACAACACAAAAGCAACAACTCATACAGAGTTGACTCATCCGGCGGTTCATTCAGATTGATCACTCCAAACAACATCTAGATAAATCCGAAAAATATTCTCAGCTGAAAGAAACACATCCAGGCTGTGTGTTAAAAAAAAAAAAAACAAGTGGTGCCTTTTGCTTCTTCCTTTTGCTTTCCAGTTGGTCATGGGTCAAAACCCAAATCGTACCCCAAGTGGTTACATCCCAATCCAACCACTAAAATAGGTTCTAAAATGGGTGAACCACCTACCAAGCAAATCCCAAAACGGTTTTGACCACCACAGCCACATGTGAATGTGTTCTTTTTGGAGGGAATTTTCTTGTTGGTTTGTTTGAAGGAACACCAAACGGAAATCCGAGGTTACTGAAAATGACCCATGGACTTTAGGTTGAGCCCCCTTGGATTTGACAACCACAGCCGATTTGAGCCGATGCCTGGGATTTCTGAGCCAGCTTGGCGTCCCAGTCCCAGAACCAGCTGCTCTCCGCCTGGTCCCTTGCCATAGCTCGATGGCCGTGGAGCTCCGGGCTCGGGGGCTGGTGGCAGCGGATTGGACAAGTGGTGGCGGTAGAAGCCTAGGTCCTCCAGCAGAGAATAAGGGTGTCCGTTTTTCTGTAGTCTTTCTTGGGAGAACCCTCCCCCCAAAAAAATGTAAAAGGGCACCACAGGGGCACCTAGAAGCAGTAGTAGTAGTAGTAGTCAGAATGGTCGTAGTAGTCGTAGTAGTCGTAGTAGTAGTAGTGGTAGTAGTGGTAGTAGTGGTAGTAGTGGCAGGAGGAGGAGGAGGAGGAGGCGGAGGAGGAAAAAACAGGAGCAGAAACAGGCAGTGGCAGCAGTAGCAGTAGCAGTGGCAGTAGCAGTAGCAGTGGCAGTAGCAGTAGCAGTGGCAGTAGCAGTAGCAGTGGCAGTAGCAGTAGCAGTGGCAGCGGCAGTAGCCAGTAGCAGTAGCAGTTGTAGTGGCGGCGGCGTCGGCGGCGGTGGTAGTGGTAGTGAGGGTGATGTTGCTGAACTCTCCAAGAGGAGTCCATGGGAAAGCTTACGAAGTACCCGGGACCATCATGAAGAGCCGAGAGGTGGAAAACCCGGGTAGTGGCCACTGGAATTCCAATGTTACCATGTTCCTTCAGACCCGAGTCATGACCCCACCAATCTTCAACTACTTGGGTTTGATTGTGACCGAGATATAGACACGGCCCAATCGATTGGGGACCACTTTTGGGCCCAGACTGTCCCTTCGGTCGCCCTTTTGAACATGACAACGATTTGTGTACAAGCTTGGCGGATGAAGCCGCAGAGTTTCAGACCGCAGACCCCTCCGTGACTTACAATTAATGCATCATTTGGGCGAAGCCCTTTAAACCAGCCTGAAACGGGTACCCTCAAAAGACACACTCGTTTGGGCAAGCCTTGGCTTGCGGAAATCAAGCCATGAAACTATTCCCCTGCAAATACACATGGAACTAGTCAGCCAGGTGGGGTCCTGCATTTCGAGCCCTAGATCCATCGGGCAGTC